GGTAGCTGAAGGGCAAACTAACACTGCTTTGCTTTAACATATGACATGTATTTGACTGCAGATATTCCAGGAATACAGGTATGATGCTTCACAGACTCTGCTTGTAAAAACCTTCCTTACATAATGAGAAGGTGTGTGGGCATGAGGGAGAGGTTGCCTGGTTGCTCTCCCTCTTACAAGATTACTCTTAGGCAAGTGGACCATGTTGTGATGCTGTTTTGCCAAGACTTGGTAAAGGAATTGACTTTTCAGACATTAAATTGCCAATGTTTTCGATAGGAGAGCTAAAAAACACCCAACAGACAAACATCTGATGCATGGCTATGTTCTGTTCTCTTTATTTTCCAAGGAACTTCTCAATTGCAGCATCCCTGTCCTGTCCCATGCTTTACTCCCTGAGAGTGCCAATGAGGTGTGTCCACTGAGGTGTTCTCAGCCCACTTAGTGGTTTTGATTCTAGACCTGCCTTCACCAGTGTAGCTCTGCTACATTACCGCTGAAAACAGGGATGCAAGTCCCTCTGCATGGGCCATGAGAGAAGGACTCTGCCTCCTTATTCACCAACCCCAGCATGCAGGAATGTTGCAATACCCTGCCTTCACTCGTCACACCAGTTGTCTGCAATTCAGACCACTTGTCTTCCTGCGGTGAGGGAGGAAGCTGCCGCCCACCTTGCTGTCCTTAATTTCCAGTCCTCATGGCTATGTGACTGGGACGTGCACCTGCCTTGAACTGTACCTACCTACCCCTTGCACTGCACCTCCAGAGCACCCACATTCCACGAGGGAGCCCACCCCTTGTCCAACATCAGTGCTGACTTGTAGGTGCCTGTCCCTCACCAAGCCCTTTCATCTGGAGAAACTTGTAAGCAAAGGCTGAGTGGGTCTACCCCATGTTTAGTCCTCTGAGAGGGGACTACAGGAGTGCTCCAAGTGACTCATGGATTTTTGGGGTAGGAAGTTGCCTCCCTGGATTTTCTGTGCTTGTATCTTTGGCTTACCTAGAGGCACTCAAAGTGAAGATCCCACTCTCTGCCTTACGCACTGGAAGGCTATCTGAAACAGGCTCCCCTCATGGTGGTATGGAGAAGACACTGCAAGATTCTGCCAGCATTGCATTGTTTCTGGGACATTCTGCGACCTCCCAGATACTACTCTCTCCATGCTCCAGCTAACTGACGGGGTCAAATTTTTCCTGGGTCACAGTAAATGAAGTCTAAAAAGGAAGATGCTTCTTTTAACATACACTGCTGTCTCAAGGGGCTGCCTTTCTCAGAAAGATACTGGCTGTGCAAGGAAATTTTTCTGACGCAGAAGTGGTTCTGGCTTAACTCCTTGTGCTGCAGGAGCTAGTCTGGTTGGGCACACATTCCTTACAAATCACAGCAAAGTATTCCTACTGTGATAAGACACTTGTTTGTGATCTGCATTTGACTGGTGCCAGCTGCGACCAGCAGGCCTCAGAGGAGACATGCCAGTGTGCTGGTACACTGCTCAGCGGGGCAGGAATGAGCAAGCATGGTCATGGCACAGACCGCAGGGACATGACTCATTCATTGCTTCATTGCTGCCTGGGTCAAATGCAGGGCAGAGCTGGGTAGCAGAAATAAACTTCTCAGCATGAATGCCGGCTCACCTGCCCATCCTGCACAAACAGGAAGGAGCCGCTGGCCCATGCCACTGACAGTTGTTGGTACTGGACTCTTCCCTCAGAGGACATCCCCGGGAAAAGCCAAGCTCTGCTCTGTTACTGCTTGAATGATGTAGTGCTCGAGGGATGCTGGGGAAGCTGAGCAGGTTCATAACAACGCCATGTGGTCAGTGGGTGACTGTGAGTTTTCTATGAGGTGGTGGCACCTCTGCTCTGAGGCAGCTGTAACTCACCATGACCGCTGGACGTCTCTTCAGGCAGGCAGCCAGGTGTCTCCAAACAGGACAACAGTGACTCCATTCCCTCCTGTTTGACAACACGTAAACCCATTTCACAGCCTGCTGGCCCAGCCAGTCTTTCTCTGCAGAAGACTCAGTTCTTGCAGGACCTGGAATGCGTTTGCCTTTGCCCACTGCTTTTGGCCCACTGGTGGCACTGGTGTTAATGGGATGACAGATAACCCGACAGGCTGCCCAGTGGCTCAGGAGGGGAGAGCATGAGCTTCCACTGAGCACCATGACCTGCATTCCTGGCACTGGGGCCTGGAGTGAGCAAATTCCTCCTTTGTTAACAGCCTTATAGGGCTGATAAATGGTCACAGCACAGGTGGTAAACAGAGGCTAGTGAATTGACCAAGGTCACAGAAGGAAGTCTATGTTAGTTGTGGGATGAAGATGTGACACACCTTCTTCCTCAGCCCACTGCACTAGTGACAGGACCCTGCTGCCTAATGTGAGTATGCCTCATCTATGAAGAGAGGCTTAGCACCTCTGGAAGGTGTCTGTCCACACCAACAGAGCTCTGTGTCAGTGTGTTTTATGCCAAGTTGGGAATAGGAGAAGAGACAACCGTCAATAATACCACCTCACTGTGGCTACCTCACTCGTGCCTTGGCTGTGCAGGGGCAGAGTAGTCTGTGTGTCCACCCGCCTCACAGAAGACAGCACAGTCCTGTTGAGTCTACAGCAGCAGCCCTCCTTCCCAGAGAAAACCTTGCTTTTGCAGGAACAAAGCACACGCTGCTCACTGCCCTTCCAGTGCAGTTACTAATGCAGGCAGTGAGCTCAAATCAGTTCATCTAAAATTGCAGTTCTGTGCTGAAGTGCTGGTGACATTACTAGGCTAGCTGAGCTCTTTGGCAGTGCGTTTGGTATGAGCCAGAAGCCTCTGATGCAATCACAGCCCTGTGTACAACACTGTGATGATAATAAGGCATGACAGCCAAGCAACCACATTAGAGGTTTAAGAAGCATTTTCAAACCCTCTTTTTAACTAATGAGTGCAGATACAGCATTTACCTGGGGCTGCTCCTAATAATGAAGAAGTGAAGGAGTAGAAAGAGATGGGGCAGAAGGTGGGAAGAGGGCAGGTTTGGAGGCTACTTTGTCCTGTTGCCACAGAAGAGCATAAGAGAAAATGAGAAAAGCAAATAAAAAATACAGAGGAGTCGGGAGCCAGGAGAAATGAGAATGAAGAAGCCATATAAGTAAGATAGGTAATGGCTTTCATGGGCTGCTTGCAAATGCTCTGCAAATTCAATTGCAAGAACCAGGTTCATGTACAATTCAGCAGTCTACATAGAAGTTATGGCCAGCAGAGCCAGCTCTGCTGCTGCAGAATGGACACCAACAAGACAGAAGATCAGCAGTGAAGAGCAAGTCCCTTATGTTGCCTGAGTGAACATAATGCTCCAGGTTTTAAGGCCCTCAGAGACACAGAGTGTTTATTCAGAAGGCAGTTCTCCTATTCAGAAATTCTGTACTGACATTATTTGGGAAAATGTAATTATTTGATCTTAAAAAGAGAGCTCAGCAGCCCCACCTTGGAGGCAAAGAGGCACTGGCTTGAACCATACGACCCATGCAGTCTCTGCCCGGGAGGTGTGTTTGGTGGCCTAAGGGGTGCTGCTCCCCAAAAGACAGCCCATCCCAGCCCTGGCAGGAGCTTGTGAATGCAGCAGAATCCAGGTGCCCCTTGTCTCACAGGAAGGTAGTGGTCCTGTCCTCAGTGTCCAGTACTCTGATTCCAAGTCCCTGCACTGCAAGTGAGATGTGGGAGCAAGGTGTCATGTGTTTGATCATTACGGATGGAGGCAGACTCTCCCCTTACTCCCTGGTATAATTACTGCTTCCATTAAGGGTTCTGCATCTTTAGAAGTCTACCAGTGAACCCTTCAAGTGTTAGACCTCCACTGAGTTGCAGTGACATGGCAATGACATCTTACAGAAAATAACAGGAGCAGCAGGGATGATCTTTTCAGGCAAGGTCCACACTGCTACCAAATTCCCCTGCTGCACCACAGGCGAACCCAGAAAGAGCATTACTTTGGCATTAATACATTTCCAGCTTGTTTCCATTATACTCTTGTGCAAGTATTGTTGCCACCGTAGCTGGCAGCATGTGTTAGCCCATTCAAGTTTTGCAGATGTTGGCATAAGGAAGATGTGGAAAGGAAACCTCTGGGGCATCAAGCAGGTGGGTTGGAAGCCCGATACTCTCGCAGCAACAACCAGGCCTGCCTCCTGGAGTGATGCAACAAAGCAGGGGGCAAAAAGCCCAACAGAGGAGATGAGTGGAGTTTGCTTTGGCACGTGCCTTGCCAAAAGAGGGAGAACCAGCACTCAGAGAAAATGCTGCAAGCTCATGGTGAGCCCTCCCATGATTAATCACACAAAAAATCCTCACGTGAGTCATGTTGCTGTTGAGAGCTGTGGTTGCAGACACATCCAGATATGCACAGTTTTCACAGCAGATAAATTGCAATGTTCATTGCTCTGCAGGCTGGGCTAGGAGGGGCACACATATATGCATGTGGAGTAAATACTACACACAAAAATGATAAAATCGTGATGCTGCACTTCTGATCTTATGCAGAAATGTGAAGTAACAGTGATTTCTGTATGCCTGAGCAATGCTGCTGAGTAGCAGTCGTTCAGACACACATACTTCGAACAACTCAGCTGGTATAAGCCAACAGAACTCCGTCGGGATAACCAGAAAGGCATCATTCTGTGCCAGCTGAAAGCGTGCTCCTTAGCGCTAGTGAGCCCGGTTTTCGGGCAAAGGCTCCCACACACGGCAACGCGGATGCCCGCAGGGGTGCGCGGCGACCGCATACCCCCCCCTTGCGGGCCGCACCAGGCTCGCCGTGCTCGGTGCCCCGCTGTGCACGCCCCAGGCGAGCGGGGCCGGTGCGGGCCCGGTGCTCGGTGCTGCCGCTGCACACTTCCTGCGGTGTGTGTGACCGGGCGCCGGTTTCCGGCAGCTGACAGGAGCCGGGGCCCGCCGCTGCCTCCTCCGGCGCGGAGTACCACCGTGCAGCGCAGCGCAGCGCAGCGCAGGGCACACACGCACGGGGGGAGGAGGAGGAGGAGGAGGAAGGAGAGGGCGGGGGGACATGAGCAGCCCCCCCCCCCAAGTCCCCCAAGCTGTAATATCACAGTAATCCCCCCATGCGATACAGGCAATATCGCACAGTCACCGACAGGCACCTGCAGGTACGTGACCCGCCCGGCTGCACCGTGAGTGTGTGTGTGTGCGTGTGTGTGTGTGCGCATCCAGCGCTGGCCGCCGGGGGGGGGCGGGCGATATTCCCGTATTCCTGGTATTTCTCTCTTTGTGAGCGGCGGAGGGCTCTCCGGAAAGCGTCCCCGGGCAGACACATAGCCCCCCGGTCCTTCCGCGGGCTAGCTGTGCCCCGCCGTGCTGCACGGGAGCTGCCGTTGCAGGGGGAGGTGGGGTGGGAGTGGGGTAGGCGTTTGGCACAACGTTGGGAGCAGGGTGACCCCCCCCCGCCCCGCGTTGCATCCTGTTGTAGTAAGAAAAGCGACCCTTCCTGCCCTACTTCCCACGGCTGAAATAGAGGTGGGAGGGGGCAGCCTGGGGGCGGCGGTGTGGGGTCTGGCGGGGGACAGAAGGGCAGCGCCTGGCGCTGTGGTTTGTACCCCCCCCCGGGGGATGTCGGAGCGCCGGGGGAGCCCTGGGCCCCAGCCCGAGCAGGCAGCAGGGTGCGCACTGGGGTAGGCAGCCCCTCGCAAACTTGGCTTGTCACTGAGACGAGGCAGAGCGATAAAGGGAGCCAGAAAACTGTGAGACAAGCTTGGAAAAGACGGTTAAGTGCAAAGGCAAAGAGTGAAAACGGTGGAGATCTATCGAGCCTTCTGTGATTTAATCCCGGCTGTCAGAAACAGAGCCACTCTCCAGCCAAAGAAGTAACTGTTACACATGTTTTAAAACTCACCTTCCATCTACAGTGTTAATAGTTATAAATATCCCATGAACACAGCTGGTTACTCGGTAGTACTAGATGAAGAGTAAGGCTGTTTCCACTCGAATGAATGAAGATCTGTCATAGAAACAAAACAATACACCGGGTAAAAATGACGTCCTCATACATGCCTGGCTTTCAACACTTCAGTTGTTAATCTGTGAAGTTTGCTTTTGTCTGCCTTCTTTACCATTTCCCCATCCTTCTCAGAAATACAACCTCTACAAGCAGTGCTGCAAAGCTAAAACTGTGATGGATGCTGAAAGCTTGACTGTGAGCTGCTGGGGACAGTAATGGTTTTCCTTTCTTCTGTTGATTTGAAAAGAAGTGGCACCAAGCTCTTAGTGTGCTTGTTAGCAGTGGTGAGGATTTGCATAAACGAAATTATTACATCCCTTCACTACATTCTGGATGTCAACGCTTTAGGCCAGGGACTAGGCTTGGTTTTGTTAGATTTTTCTTCTTTAAGCAGAGTAGCCCCCAAAGGTCTGTTCAGGTCAGGAGTGACCAGTTCCTGTTTCCCCCTGCGGCTGCTTCTATTCCCCTCTGTATAATTCAGAGCTCAGACCGACAGGGCTGTACTCATGTGGTACTGCAATTAACCTAATAACCCGAGCCAGCACCACGCTGGGGCTGCACGTCTGCCCCACAGCATATGTGTGTAGGTTCAGGCTCCTTCCGTCTGACTGGCATTCCTGGGAGCTGACTGAAAACACCTTGGGGGTCAGATCTGCCAGTTGTTTTACAAACGTCATTTCAGGCTTGGCTAAATCTATTTTTGCCCACTTCGAAAGCCACACAAGAGTCAAAGTCGGAAGTCACACGGTTCATGCACTCACCTGCTGCCCTGTGCTGAGCCCCGCACGCGACCTGCCTAAATGATACAGCCCCTCTTCCCCCTCCACCAGTGCCTTTCAGCAAAAAGCTGTTTTTCAACCTTGTTGTCAAGTTTATCAGCCCTTTGAAATCCTTTATAGGATTTGTTGGTTTATAGGTAAGCCAACAAAGCAACCCAATAGTTTAAAAAACTTGCTCCCAGATGAGTAATAAAGAGATAAGAATTGACAGGTACTGGGTGAGCTAAGTATTAACAGCTACTGTTCAAGGGATAATAGACGGTCTTACATTCCGTGAAAAGCTTATCATGAGAGAAATATGCAATGGAGTTACTTGTTCTGTTGTTGCCAATAACTTATCTCAAGAGCGTAACACAGCTGTTCTTCGTATGCCACTAACATAGTACGTTTCCAGGAGGTAACCTTAAACTTGTGCAAGAATTGTAACAGCTCAGGTTCTTCTCCAGCCATTGTTAGTAAGCTGGTGTTTTGGATTGTTTTGGTTTTCAAGCAAATCAATGTTGGTGTTGCTCCTGTACTGATGCACTGGTAGTCTCTGTACTACACCAGGATATTTCCTGTAACAGAACTTACTGGAAGTTTCAAAAGCACAGTGTAATTCTGTTTTGTTCACTCAGTGATAATGGGTCCGTAGTCCCCGAGTTCCCAAAGTTGGCAGTTTGCTTCACCACCAGTTCACACCTGGCACTCACCACTGCATCTTTGCTGAGCTGCCACGGTTCCTCACCTGGGTGTCAGCTTGACTGGGCTGTTGTGTGTCCATACACTCCAGCTCCACGAAGACTCTCAGAGTTGCAGCATGTTTTGGTCTTTCTGGTCTCCCAGCCTTATGCCTCTCTTCCTCCCTTCCCTGTTCATTGCAAAATGCAGACAAAAGAGGTCTGAAGGTCTTAGGTGTGGGCGGAGCTGTAATCCCACCCTTGGCTCTCATTTCCCTGGTGCCACTGTTTTTCCACATCTGCACTGTGGGGGTGATAACCCATCCAGGCACAGCCCTCAGAGGTGGTGTGAAAATTAACTACTGTTTGTAAGGCACTTCGCAGAAATGTGTGTGGCAATTAGTCCTCTCAAGGATCGTTATTCATCTGGTAATTCAGGTGTAACTAGCTCAACCTAAGGCTCTGCTTTCAAAGTTTATTGCTGCACACCTTTCTGCGAAGTAGAACAGGGTGAGAAGGAGGTTTATTGGCTTTTCTGGTTCCTTCTCTGTAAAAAATACTCCAGAAATTGAGCCAAATGTTTCCATTATGGATCTGCATAACAGCTCAAAGGAACTTGAAAGGCTTGTACCTTAGTACTTACTAATAATGAAGGTGACCCATGCAGCACGACTGCTTCATCTTCAGTTACTTGACCTTGATTTTGTTTTGTTGATTTATGAACTTTATTTACTGGTGGGGGTGGTGAATTCTTTTGCAAGACAGAAATTACAGCGTGCCAGCCCTCCCTTGTTTCCATGGTAACAGGTACACCGCACAGATTCCTGAATGAGACCCCTGGATGGCCACTGATTGTGTTTTTCTGGTTTGGTAATGCTGGGCCCTGAAGTAGATAAAAGGTCGTGTTCATACAGCTGTCCGAATTCGAGCAGTCAAAATGGAAACAGAAGTAAGAGTAGATGCCTTTAGCACGGTGAGAATGTATTGTAATGTAGTCTCAGTCACACATACATGGATGGGATAGAAGCAGGTAATTTTCAGTACTGTGTTTTCTTCCCAAGAAGGGTATGGTGGAAAGGACCAAGACCCTGGTTTTAGCTTGAGCTTTATGATCAGCTCCTGTGGCTGACTGACGTGTGTGAAGAAGTAAGTTATTCTGAATCATCTGGGGACTGTTCTCAATTACGGATGTTTTCTGCATTTTCTGCCCTGACAGTTCTCTTTTTACAGTCCTTGTATTGCTGGAGAGTTCCTTCATACTCCTCCACTCCCTCTTCTTAGTTATTTTTTTAGCAACAGGCAGGATCTGCAAGCTTCCCTTGACTGATGCCAGCTCAGAGACACCGCATGGGCCATGCTGGACCCAGGCACCTCAGGATTAACTCTGTGGAAAGTTACAGTAACAAAAGTTTTCCTGTAGTATGGTATTATGGGATCAGATTCGTGGTGCTCACAGAGTAAGCACTGTGTGAGACCTTGTATTTTCACTGCAAGGTTTCAAAGTAATTAATTTGTAAAAACCTTGTCTGTACCTAAGATGTTTTACGTAAGCGGTTTATAAATGGTACCTAAGATAACTGGAAGAGGTGAGGGGAGGGAAGAGACGCCTCTCCCTTTTTCTTCCCAGCTGTAGTTTAGTCATTTTCCCACCCTTTATTGTGTGGTCTGTGCTATTATTTTCCTTCATTAAAGTGAGTGTCTTTGGGCAGTGTGGACAAGCAGGCAAAAACCTTCAAAAATGCATTTTTAAAAAACAAGAACATAAACATAGAGCAGAAGGCAACCATCCAAATGCATATGTTGCTCAGCTTTGGCAACTGGCATAGATAAGAAGATTTTTCTAGAATCACCAATGCTATAGTTTGAAAGCTTTATCATTTAGTCCCTTTTCACCTCTGAACAGCTGCATCTTAATGAAAGAAATAAACAAGATAGTTATCCATGATATAATTATCTCTTATTTTATTCAAAATAAATGGTAACTGGCAGAACCTGAATTTAGTAATTTCAAATTTCAGTGTCTGTCCCATCATGGGTTACAGAAAAAAGATGAAGCACTGATGGTCTAGTAGTTCACACTGAAATTCTTCTGTTGCCCTGCCAGAAGCAGCCTCTAAATGACCTGTGATACTTAACTTCATATTAACCCATCCTGCCTTAAAATTGCTAATTGGTGTGACAGACAGAATAAAACTGGAACAAGTGGTGGGTTAGAGATCTGTCTTAAAGGCAAAGCTGCAGTGGAAGGGTGTGGAATGACAAACAGCCAGACAACACATCATTATTTTGTGCGCCCTCAGCAAGTTTGCCGATGACACCAAGCTGTGTGGTTCGGTTGATACGCTGGAGGGAAGGAATGCCATCCAGAGGGACCTTGACACGCTTGTGAGGTGGGCTGATGCCAACCTTATGAAGCTTAACCGTGACAAGTGCAAGGTCCTGCACCTGGGTCGGGGCAATCCCAGGCACAGCTACAGGCTGGGCAGAGAAGAGATTCAGAGCAGTCCTGTGGAGAAAGACTTGGGGGTGTTGGTCAATGAGAAAATGAACATGAGCCAGCTTCAGTGTGCGCTTGCAGCCCAGAAAGCCAACTGTATCCTGGGCTGCATCAAAAGGAGCGTGACCAGCAGGTCGAAGGAGGTGATCCTGCCCCTTTATTCTGCTCTCGTGAGACCTCACTTGGAGTATTGTGTGCAGTTCTGGTGTCCTCAACA